TTGCCACTTACGTCCAGATACCAAAAAGTATTTACAGACTACGGATTGGAATTACGTTGAAATTTATGGCTATAATATAAGCCAAAGTATTTAATATTTAATGTAGATTAAAACTGGTTAGGATCTTTAAAATTATCGATAATAAAGTTGAAATGCGCAAAGAAATATATTCAGACCTGAGATCTCATACATAATCAACATAAAAAAATAATTAAAAAAACTATATAATAAATAAATAAACAGTCAATAAATTAAATAAGAAAAACTGAATGAAATGTGTTCTAATAGGAAAACAAATTGCTAAGTCGAAAGTTTTTGTGCCAATTTTACCCAAAAATATGTCGTTTTTTTAAGAGAAAAAAACATAATTTAATTCAATATAATGACTTTTTACTTAAATTTTTGTTTTTATTTAAATGCGATTTGTTTAATCCTTTATTTTTCTCGCATGTTTCCCGTCAAGCATATGGCACACAGGACAACACAACAGAACACAATACGACAGGCTGGCCAACAGGAGGAAACAACAGCAACAACAACAACAACAAAGGATCAACAATCAAGGCGCAACAAAAAGTAAAGAAGACTAGCAAAAAGTTGTTAGCCAATTTAGTAAATGTCCAGTCTATGTGTGTGTGTGTGTGTGTAGCTCGTTTGCCGCTTTGTGTACTTTTTGTGTTTCGTATTGAATAACAAATCATTTGTGGCATATGTTTAGGGGCCTCAACACAACTTGCCGACTGACAATAACAACAACAACAACTATGAAATCAAGCAGAGCCCAAAATGGGCGAACACGTTAAATGGCCAGTTAACATTTGGATAGTTGGATAGTTCGTCAAGTTGTTAGAGCCCACAAAAAGTTGTAGATCAAAGTTAATCAAATTGAGGCACACTTAAATAGCTCCATTTTCATCGATAGCTGAATTATTGGCTTTAATACCTGATATAAATGCTGCTTCACTTTGGTTAAAGTTTTGCGTTTTTTTCGTTTCCGTTTGCATTTTGGCCATGGCCTGTCACGCTTGCGGGGATTAGCAAAAGGCTCTCTGCGCTCTCTGCTACGTGAGTAATTTTTCAAAGCATGCAGCCACACACACCCACACACATAGACAGATGCGCACACAGACAATCGTAGCTTTCATGGATATAGATGCCTGCCAATCGTTATGAAGTAAAAAAAAAAAAAAAACAATGATTGAAAATTCCTATGCAATATCTACGACTCTCAGATGACCTGTAATTGTGCTTCTCGGTAATTAACTTTAAAAAATTGGTTTATTATTTTCAAAATTATTTATGTGCATTGAAAAAGATGCTCTCATCGAAATTCATCTGCGAGTTAATTTAAATATCAAATATTTGGTTAATCAATTCCTTTTTTTCGTTAAATATAATGTGAATACTCATAGTTGAAATGATTGTTTAAAAACTATTTCTTACTTCAAATTGCCGTAATTTATTTTCTTAACTTAAATTTATCCGTTAATCGATATTTAACAGCTGTCATTTGAATGTCTTGGCATTCAGTTAATATACTTCTGAATATACCCTGTACTGGGTGAACATTTTTGAGTTCTGAACGTTGGAAAGAAGACGTGGAGTATAAACCGTAATACAATTTGTAGGCTCCGCTCTCTTCATTAGGAATTTTATTTCTTTTTTGCCAGCGATAAAAAAGAATTTATTGCCGCAAGTTCAAACCATTTTGGGAAGTAACATTTTTTTTCTTTGGCCCCAATTGCCACGCTCGCTGCATTTTCAATTGCATTTAATGTATATATTTGGGGTCCGCGCATTTTCTGCTCTCTGCGATTTTCCAATTTAGTGAAAAGCTCGCACAGAGCATTTTCACATGACTTTGTTGAACTTTAGCGGCATATTTAAGACTTAGAGGACGCGCTTGAATTGCCCCCGCCGGGTGGGGTTAATTAGACCTTGTTAATTGACGGTAATTAGGTCAGTGCTAAAGGTTAGTTTGCCAGCTGCTTGATGGAGGCCGTAAATTATCCAGATTTGAGCAAAGTTTCTACTAATGAAGTTTTTGCAATGAAGCAAATGGCGATTACTCGCATAGTAATGGTTAGTGCAAATTACCAAAAATAATTGCGAATATCGATACGATCATTAATATAGGGAAAAGTGTTTAACGATATCAATTGAATTGTAACTAAAAACCAAATTTGATACTCCATGAAATACACTTGAATAGTTAGCATAAGAATAAAAAGAAGATATTACCTTGTCATATTTCTAAGTAAGATCACAAATTCAAGCGTTATTGCAAATTAACATAAATCAAAAATTAAATTTCTACATTGTGATACGCAATACAGATCTGAGCGCCAAGTGTCTTGGAATTGTACTGGATAAGAGGCTTAGCTTTTGGGCGCACATCGACGGCCTTCTTAAGCAGTGCCGCTATAAGATGGCCAAGGCCAACTGGCTACTAAACCCCAACAGCCCATTGCCACTTCGCTGCAAACGGGCAGTTTACAACGTCGTGGTGGCACCAACTTGGAGATACGGTATTCAGGTTTGGGGCATCGCATCTCGGACAAATCGAAGACGTATTCAGACACTCCAAAACTTGGCCTTGCGCCGAATTACGGGTGCTGACTGGTACGTCAGAAATTCAACCTTACACAGAGACCTCAAAATGGAGACCATAGACAGCCAAATCGGAGCATTCGCCAACCGGTACAGCGAACGCTTGCAGCGACACTGCAGCCGGGTAGCAAGAGACCTCGCTGGGAGATGTGTAGTCAGGAGGCTCAAGAGAAGATCGTTCAAAGACCTCCTCCAACCACGACATAGGAGCCGCCCCAGAGTCCCCCGACTACCTACGTGATGATGCAGCCTTACTCAAAAAGCCGCCTTTGACATTTGTCCACGATAAAGCCTGAGGACCCAAACAGGCTTGGCGTAATATCACCTAAGCCAACTGTGTTGTAATAAAAATGTATGCTATTTTTGATCCAATACAATAAACAAACAAAAAAAAAAAAAAAAAAAACAGATCTGAGATTAAACTTTTCCATCTAATCGGTAGACTCCCCTCAGGCTGGCCACCTGATAGCTCAATTGAAGAAAACATGTATTCAAAAGAAAATTCTAAATCAGTCAATTTCCTATACTATAAGAAACCCGACTACTTAATGTAACTAAATTCACATATGTAAATGGCGCATTAGGAAAAAGCGAACTTGGAAGCCGATTAATAAACAAAATATTTACAAATATATCCAAAAATAATAAAAATATATATGCTTATCCATTAATCCATACCCTACATTACCAGGCATTTTGTGGGAAAACTATTTTTTTTAGAATTTTGAGAGATATTTACTTATGGATTGTACTTATGGATTTACTTATGGATTAAGCCACTCGGCTAAAAAAAAAATGTTTAAAATTTTGTGGGAGGATTTTTTTAATAGATGTCATGAAAAAAAAATTCAAAGAAAAAAACGTACACGATTTCTTTGGGTGTTAGAATAAAAAAAAATTGTACATTATATACATTCCTCCATTTTAATTTAATGTTCTCCAAGTCGTTCGCTTTGCATCTTCTTCAGCTCAACTAAATCATATTTATTGTAACCATTTTCAAGCTCTATTCAAGCAAAATGCATTAAAACAATTTCCAAACATTTATTTCGAGACCTCTCTTTCAAAGAAATAACTTTTTATTTACCAAAGTCAGGGCAACTCATGTTCCTTCAAAATCGCATCAGTCTCCAGCCAGGTCCAGTTCCCAACTGATGTTTAATTGGGTGCTGCTTGGACTTTTATAAGGCGCCCATAGCCAATAAGAAATGAGCATTTAATTTCTAAGCTGCACAGGATTGGCGTGGGTGCCTTGGGGGTTGATGAGAGCGAAAGCTGGATGTATGACGGCGAAAGCTCAGCAGCAGAGCTTGCAAGCTTAACATAACAAGAGCTTTTTGAAGGGATAAATTGACCAGTATTTGCTGGGCAATTTAGGATGAAGCTTAAGTGTTAACAGACTGTTAGTGAACAGTAACAGTGGGGTAATTGTGTAACAGCCGTGCTTAAGAGCGTAAACATTGGCACTGCTAAGTCACTTAACAGTTATGTTAGCTTTAACATGTGAGCTAAGAGAGAGCTTCGTTTTAACAGTGCGCTGGGGAAGTCTGTTATTCAGACAGCTAAAGAGATTCAAACAGCAGTAAAGCTTGGTTAACATGGCAGCTTAAGAGATCAAAAATGTTAAATATAACTGTATTTACAGATTAACTAACAGATTTAATTAATATATTGAGTTTTACATGCCGGAAGGACACGCTGAAAAGCGCAAATAAATAGATTTAGATTCAATAATAATGCATTAATTAGTTAAGCAACTTATCGACCAGATTTTTTGGGTTAATATACCAATCATTTAGAATCACTTTAATGCTTATCTTTAAGCATTCAGCCATAACTGTATATGCACAGCTTGCAAAAGCATTTAACATTCATTCGGCGGATGCCATAAAAATATATCTTCTGCTTGTTGTTGCTTTGTGGTTAAAACAAATTAAGTGGAATTAATGCGGCTACCTCTGACTTTTCACCTGTGCAACCGCACAGATACAGGCAACACACATACACACACACACACACACTCGACTATCGCACATTTATGATTTTCGAAAAGCCCAAAAGGACTGGCAAGCCTTTGTGTAATGCGTTTTTTGGTTTCGCTGTTTTTGACATTTGAGCTCTCCTCGTGTGCATTAAATATTCAACACGGCCTGAACGCCAGTGAAAAGGCCGAGCATATTCAGTGAAAAGAGGAAGAGTCGCATTGCTAGCACGTATAAATGCCAAAGATATTTATGTAGATGTATACCAAAAAAATAGCTTTAATTGCAATTGGTGTAAATAAAAATGCAGTTGAAAATAATTAAAATAAAATAACAAGTTGGCAGAGAGCATGAAATAATTTTTGTTTTTTTTTTTTTGTTATTTTTTTATACAAAATATGAACTCACCTTTCACTTGCTGTCGCCGACAAGCCGCACTCTCTGCATATATAGAGCTACTTCTTATTTGTAGTATCTGGCCAAAAAATAAAAAACCTGAAGAAGCCGAATGCAAAAAACTTTACGCCAGACGCTCCACTTGAATTGCCCCACCTTGGCGTCGAGCCTTTTGGCCCAAGTGGGTAGAGTCCTTTCAAGTGGATTCAGCTGGGAGCACAGCGCAGACAAACGGCCCACGTGCAATTTCTGTTGCCACAGTTAAAGAAATATTTCCTTCTTCTTTTTTTTTTTTTTTGCCAAACAACTGGGCAAATATTTTTATAATTTCCTTTTTATAGAAATTTGCATTTTGGTGCCTGCCATTTCCGCTTTGCCACTTTACCATTTCCGGTTTTGACGTGCCATAATTGCGAGTCCTTTGCCTGAATTCCGATTGTGTGCTATGCGTATATGCGGTTTAATGGCATTTCGCTTGATTTTCAATTCATGTCAAATAAATTAAGCGATTTCAATTTGCTTCATATTCGCTTGAGCAAATCATTTACCATGCGTCATGTGGTCCGTCTGCTCTCTGTTACTTTGCCTGCAATGCAAGAATTTAATTTTAAATCGGACATTTTGCGAGCGTATATCGACAGTTAAAATGCAAGGTATAATAACTAATTTGAATATTTATAAACTCTTTGATGCTGCGTTTAATTTATGAACCAACACTTGGTTATTTGCATATGCTTTGGTCAGTGGGAACATTCTACAAAAAGGTAAGAGTGAAGAATGAAAATTAACCCCAAAAAAATATATTTCTACAAATAAATAAATTATAGATAAGGATATGCCTTCTTGTTACATGCATTTCGACAGCTTTAATGCATAATTTTTTGGTAGCTTAAATGCCATTTTCGACATTCATGTAAGAATTGTTTTTTCATTGCACGAAATCGCAGTCTCGACCAATTGTTTGCAAAACGGATGCTATTTCAGTGTGAGCCAAATGAATATATAATTGTAGAATATTAATAATTAAAATCAATTAACAGTCCTATTCTCTGATATTGTTACTTTATTACCCATCTGAACGAACAGAGCAGTTAAAAATTCCATTAAAATCAATCTTGCAATTTACACAAGTTTATTCATTTTACGTGGCTGCGCGTCGGTTCGACTCACACACGCATCGCGAGCTATTTGTGAAAGTCTTTAATGTTTTAATTGGCAACAATAAGTGTAATTAACATTTAAAATTATCACGGCAATATAAATTGTTTGACGGCCATAAATATGGATGAGGAGGAGCAGCATAAACAGTGCCAAAACGAAAGAACAATAAGGACACCATTCGGATGGCTCCTTTCCTTTTTCCCGTCGTAGTCGCAGTTCACATCGATGGCTCGCCGGGACTTCAGACGGCGGCGCGTGTAAGGCAAATATATCAAACCAGGAAAAGGCATAAATGTTGCATAATTTAAATAAAATTGCATTAATATGTTCTTGAAAGGGACACAGCAGAGCACAGCACACACACGCACACACACATAACTGCAAGCTGCGGCAGCAGTCGCGCCTGCCTGGGCACAGTTCCAGACTCCACAGACAGCACAGACTTCTCCTTGCTGGGGCCCATAACTCATCGCAGCCACGTTGCTGGCCACAAACACAAACACACTCGAGCCGGTTTACACTCACACACACGCACACACACTCGCACACTCGTCCTGCAAATTCACACCAAAATCAAAAAGCAATAATGATGCTCGAAAAGTGAACAAGCAGACCATTCCACATACAAGGTGTTTATGTGCATGTGTTTGTGTGTTTGGCATGCAACACAACTATGAGTGTCTGTGTGTGTGTGTGTGTGTGTGTGTGAGGGCGGGTTGGGAGCCATGTGGCTCAAAGGACGCAGGGGGAGCAAACGTGTGCTCAGCAAGTTTTGTAGTATTTGTCGTTATAAATTTGACATCAATTGGCGCAGCATGTGACCAGCAAAGGGCCAAAGGACTTAAGTGGAGACAAGGATTCGAACTTTTCTGTTGCGGTAAATAAGTGCCGTGAATTGAAATATACATAAATATCTAGGAATATATATATATATATATATATATATATTAAAGATTTATGTGCAATAAATACATTTAAAATATGTTTTTAAATTTTAAACAGCTTAACACTTACTAGACGCATTCTTACGCATTTTAGGGCTAGTTTATATGAAAAATAATAATAATAATATCAATATTTATTTGTAACTTTACTGTAAAATTCCGCAAAAAAAACTATATGCTTTTCTATTAAAGTCGGCTTTAATGCACTTTTACTTTGTTTTAATGTACATAAATTAATATACATATATGTATATATATTGATCAAAATAAAATCAATGGTAATATTATTATTATTACTGGTTAAAAGTAATAATATTTAGTAAAAAGCTAAGCACCCTTCGATTTGCGTCATAACTTAAAATTTATTATTCAATTTAAATTTCGCGGCAATAGCTCACAGACAAAGTCTCAATGTCGCACGACACGGACTTTTAAGCAGCCCTGGCATATATAAGAAAATCTGATAACATGGCTCCAGAGCCTTTTTCGATTCGCGGCAAAAAGAAAACTGCAATATTGAGAGCTATGCAAGCAGTGCAGACTGGTCTTTAAATAAGCTTAACTGTTGCCCTTAAACTGTGCTCGCATCCAAGCAGTTCACAAACTTGCCAAGCAGTGCAGTTGCACATCCTTTTCAATGCTTTTTGGCCAACTTAACCGTCTAGAAACATATTTTAAAGCAGTGTAAATTAAACTGCTTGCTGGCTAATTTTGAAATAGTGTAACGAATTTTTAAATATTCTAATACAGATATCAATAGTACATAATTAATATCTTTAATTATTTAACAATGTCTGAAGAACTTATGAGTTAATCGCTCAATGAAATAAACCTGAAAAAACAGTAATAAAACTTCTAAAAACATTAGCAAATTGTACGACAATAAGAAAAAGAACTGGCAATGAAAAGTTGATAACATTATAATGTTAGAAAGAGATTAAATAAATATGTATATGTATGTGTATATGTATATGTATATGTATGTAGTACATTACACGTGCAGTCAAGCGAACTATCTATTACCCAATTAATTACGGATATCTTGGCTTTCAGTTCTCATATTCAGCAGACAGCACTTTCTATAAATCACTTTTGTTGTACGCTAACTTATTGCAATCTTCAACCTGGTTACAGCTGCCACATGCCACTGCACATTCAGCCCCGTCAGCCTCGCAGCGAGCTAATGACGTGTGAAATTCTCCATGTAAACTGATGCTAATGCTGTCTGTCTCTGCCAACAGACTGAGCAGTCCCAGCTACTTAGCGCGCCGCAGCAAGGATCTGCTCGCGGGCTGCCGGCTGCCCACATCCTTGCTTTGAGAGCAGCCGCTTTTTCAATTTCACGCGGCTCGCCAAAGGACATAAACAAAAGTGCAAGCGTTTCATGTCGGCGCATTGCAAACGACTCCACGCAGGGGAGTTCAGGTGCATAGCTAGCAAGGGGCAGGGCGGCTAAGCGTGGGGTGCGGGAGAGGGTTAGACTGGCAGGACGACGTCAACCCCGCAATTGGAAATGCGCGTCACGTTTTTAGCCACTTTTTGGGCGACAGACGACGACGACGGCGCCCCGCGATTCGCGTGCAGACAAAACCCTAAAGCGGCGCACGTGTGTGCATGTGCAAATGCCACGCCCCCTTAAAAAAGGCGCCGTCGACATATTCAAGTGCATTTTAAAATTGCAAATAATTTTTTATAATATTGTGCACATTTTCTCTTTTTGCAGTTAGAAGCGCTCCGATGGGTTATTATTCAATCAGCAATTCAAGTGTGGCCACAGCTACAGTGGAGCCTCGCTAAGTAGAACAGCTAACTATATCATTTTGCAACCTTTTAGGTAAATTGAAATTGTTAGCCTATAATTAAACGGATAACGAATTGACAGCACAAGCTCCCAGCATAATTTGTACATTTTATGTGCACGTTCCATGCAGAAAAGACTGTAGCTAATTACGTTTATTGTACCGACACATAATTACAATTGGCGCATTTTATTGTTTACTTTATGTCCAAAGTTTCTACCTCATTGCGACTTTTCGGCTGCTCTTTCAGCCTGTTGAAGTTTTTCCTTCCTTTTTTTTTTTGGCACAGCTCTAGGAAAACTTTTCACATTTGGGCCAACAATTTCATGTGGAGTTTATTTTTTCTATTTCTTTAGCAAATTTATGCTGACAGTTGTAAAAATTATGCAAATTTTGTATTTGTTTTTTGGCACGCAGACTTCTAGGCGTTTTACTGCCTGCAAACTGGATATAAAGCTAATAATAATATTTTTAAAATCATAATACATAAAATCAGATAAATTATGTTGATTAAATATTTTAGAGCATGACAAAAGGTTGTTAAATATCTATATATTTAAAATAGAGAAAAAGAATAATAAAAGCAATTAAAAAAATATTGCTTTTGAAAGGCATTATAATTTCGTCATGAAATATGTAACGCCTAGAAGAAGACGTCTCCGACCCAATTAATTATATATATTCTTTATCACCATTAATTATACATACTAAAAGTCGAGTAGATATAGCCATGTCTGTCTGTCTGTCCCTTTGTCTGTTTCTATGCGAACTAGTCTCCGCACTCCTTTGTGTATCAATATATCTTCACCAAACTCAGAATTGATTTGTTTCAGTTTGCTCCACATATAAATGCAAAATCACAAGCCGGGGATAATGTATAGCTAATATTATAAAAAAACAAATTTTCTATAATGCCATTATTTTATTATGAGTGCAGCCTTAGGTAAAATAATTCCACTACAAAATCTACTGTGTCCTCTTCTTATTTCATTAAAATGAAATCCTTGACTTCAGCGTGACTTCTACTCATTGGGTTTATTAATCCCAAAATTGTATTTAGTAAGTCTTGTCTGCTGCTTTTCTAACTAATGCGTTCTTCTAGGCTACTACAATTTGTCTATAAAAAATAATATTAGCTTTTGTTGTCTAATTGATGGATAGAATTTCTTTATTAAGCTGAATGTACTTTTATGTTCCGCGTTCCAAATAGGATTAAAATTTCAATAATTAAATAAATTTAATAAAAACTTTAGTTGAAAATTTTGAACAGCCAGATTATGTTTAGAAAAAAAAGTCTATTAAATACTCTCAAGGGTTTACTTCTTATTTTCTTATTAAATAAAATACTATATATTTTTGTCAAAAACTACAACGAAAAAGAAAACTGCTGCAAATACTTTAAAATCGAGCAGCAAGAAACAAGAAACAGGGAACAGAGAACAGGCTCGATTGAAATATAAAAACCACAAAATACGAAAAGCAACAAAGCAGACAGAGCGGGTCCTGGGTTCAAAGGACAACACACTTAGAAACAGGCAAATTTTATTTGCATGCGGCTTTTCAATTCGTCTAAGAACATAAAACGAGCCAAAAGGAACAACGTTTTTGGGGAACCCTTTCGATGATGCAAAATAAAATAAAGCTGTAAAAATAGAAAAATAGAACAGAGCAACAGCGCGACG